TTGTGAGCAGGATCTCCCGACTCCAGTGAGCGTCGTTAGTCTCTGGGATAAGGACGAACAGGTGTGACTTCTCCATCGGTGTTTCAGAAGACAGTAAGGGATCAGTTGCCCATGGTGACAGGCTGTAGATTTTTAATTTTGCCCCTCACTTTCCCACTGACAAACAGCACAGAGGAAGGAGCACCAGTTGGCTGGTCCTGTGTTGTCTGCTTCATCTGCCCAGGACAGGTGTTTCTAAGGTGTCCAGGTTTGCAACACATGTAGCATTTGCATGTATCAGCTGATGCTGGCTTGTTAGCAGGAGGTCCAGGTGGTGATTGCCAGGAGGCTTCGTGATTTCCCAGTGGTTTATGTAGGTATCTGTCAATCTGCTGACAGTTTGGCAGACTCAGGCTTGCACTCCATCTCAAACTACTGAACTTCTGTGGGACAGATGTGTAGGAGTTGGTCCTGGATCATCAGTCCCTCCAGGGTGTTATAGGAATCTTTTTGCAGTCCATTAGTCCATAGCAGCTTACCACATCAGTGTAAGCAGGTCCTTTCTGCAGCAACCTGAATTTCTTGTGGTATAATTCTGGTGCCAATTGATATTTGGTAAGTACAGTATAGTGTCCTTTTTGGTTGGCAATTCCACAAAGATTTCAGGGCTCTGCCTCTTTACTGGGCCAAAAAGTTATAATGTCACTGGTGTTCCCCATGACTGGACATTTGGTTGCATGGCTCACAGTGCTTCCCTGTGCTCAAGGGAACCAAGGGTCTGATTCTTTTACTGGAGCTTAGCCATTTCCAGTTTTATTTTTTAGTTCACCAAACACTTTGACACATTTTGGAGAAATGAGGGTGGCACTGTATTTAGTATGACATCCCTATCCTCCCCACTCAGTTTGGGGTAGGTCAGACCTTATTATCATCACACTTCCCCCAAAAGCCCTCAGCCCTAATGTATGCAGTGAGACAGCTTTTGCGTGGATCGATGCACATATCAAAATGCCTTAATGGGTGGGTGTTGGTCTGGAGGAGTAGGTATTCCTAGGCAGACTGCATTTGCATGCAGAAAACCCTATAATTGAAAGAACTGAATTACAATAAAAAGAGCAGGCAAGGGAGAAGAAGCAAGGGAGTCAGGATGGGGAAGAGAGACCTAGATGATGCTCAATGTCCTCCAGCCAGAAAATGAGTGCCCAGTGAAATTAAACTTCATTTCACTAAACTAACTAAATGTAAAGTGTTTTCAGTACAGCAGAGGAGCCTGTACAACTGTGAAGACTGAATATAATGCTAAACTCTTGCACAGTTGTTCAGGCTCCTTTCCTGTACTGAAAATGCCTAAATACGCTAACAAAGAATTTGTCAAAACTTCACCCATGTAATGACATGGATAAATAACAGAAACAAAGTAATCAATTAACCAGTGTAAAAAATATCAACTTAAAATGTAAAGATGTTTTACTGTCTGTGTCCCATTGGGTAGAATACCACTCACTTCTTGCCCTTAGAGATACAACAAGAGGTGAGAGAGAATCTCCACACAACGAAAGTTGTCACCACTGGGGGATTTCCCTTTACCTGCTGTTCTGATGACAACTGTAAAACTTTGGATTTCCTGTCCCTTTCTGTCCCTTTCTGTCCCTTTCTGTCCCTTTCTGTCCCTTTCTGTCCCTTTCTGTGTTGTGCACAGTGGTGTAGTGGTTAGCACTTGTGCCTTGTAGCACTGGGGGTCCCTGGTTCTAATCCTGGCCAGGTCACTATCTACAAGCTGTTTGCAAGGGTTTCCTTCCACACTCCAAAGACATGCTAGAAGGTTAATTGACTTCTGTATAAATTGGCCCTTGTATGCATGCATGTGAAATAAGGACCTTAGATTTTGAGCTCCTTGAGGGCAGGGACTAATGTGAACTGTGTAAATGTTGGCTCAAAATAAATAGTCACCGGGACAAATAGAGAGGGTGAATGTACCCAGGGGAGACTCAGAGAGCATTAAAAACCTGACAGGGGTTCAAATCATTACCCATCAAAACAAAAACTTTTTGCTATACATACAGTGTAATAATAAACTCATCTGTAATATATTACTTAACACAATGCATTCTCAGCTGTAATAACATACTAATTTAATAGTAAGAAATAGTCTATAATGTAAAAATAATTTCCATATACAGATTGATAACTACCCCTATGCTAAATAAAAAGGTAGATCTACTTAAAAAAAAAAAGCATGACCAAACTCCATCAGGTATCTGTACCTGTGGAGCTAAAGTAGTAGCTGAGGGTCTAGCAGCCACAGCACAAGCCACTGGATTACAGATTCCTAAACACTAGGGGCCAGTATGTTACTAAAACCATTAATCTCCAGGGAAGCTACTCTGTAATGAGAATAGCATGGAGACTGCCATTGCGGGTCTACTTTTGGAAATTCTAGGTGCCTGGCTGTGTCTGAATTTGGTATGTTTCAGTCACAGTGTCTGAAAAGTGTCAACACTTTATCTCTAATGACAGCCAGGGAGACAAAGAGAGTTCAGTAACGACAGCCTCCATTGTCCCTCTAAATAAAATGCCAACTAAGGTAAAACTGCCGCAGACATTACATTCCTTTTTTTTTCCAGATCAAAGAAGCTACACTATACAGACAAGAACCAAATGGTAGGTGCAATTACCAGATTATTTAGTTATTGCAATCCTATTTATAATCAATCTCAAAGTGCTCTTATGTTTAGAATTGAATCATACAAGTTGTTTCTTGAAATTAAAGGGGTTAGAAGAAAAGGTTTAGCATTCATGATAAATATAGCAATCAATCAGATTTTTCCAGTACAGATTAAATCTAAGGCCCTATTCACACTAAGCGGCACTTACCTCGAGCGGATCCGCACGGCCGGGTATAGTGCGACTGTTCGGGCGACGTTCCAGCGACGATCACGCAACCTTCACCGTCGGGCTGCATGCAAAAATAGAAAAATTGCGCGACATCCACGGGAAAAAGGGTCCCGAACAAGCAGCACGCGACAGTGTCGAGCGACATGGAGCAGTTCAATAGAACAGCTCCATTGAAAATCATTGGACGGCGACTTCTCGCGATATCGCGCGGAAAATTTGCACGGTATCACGGCGGAAATCACTCAATTAAACGCCCAGTGTGAATGGGCACTTAAGCTATGTGTTTACAGTTTACTGGACCCTATGCTCACATGTATACTGTATCTTCTGCATTAGACGAAGTACACTTTGAGTTTGCCAAGTATCACTTATTGGTTTGTAAATGTTCTGCTACACTCTTTCTATAGATATATATTCCAACTCTGTTTCTTTGTTTTGGATAGAGTGAAAAAGAATGAAAATTTCTGGCAAAGTTTTTTTTGTGACGCTACTGGAAAGATTTTCCTTCACTTCCTGTGGCAGTGACACAAGGACAAGAAATGAGGGAGCAGTTGTCACCAAAATAGGAAGGCACAGAAAGCATTAAAGGAGAACTATGGGCTCAGTGCTTTTCCCCATAGTTCTCCTAAGGGTCGCAGGAGGACACAAACGAGCGTTCTCCCGTGGCCCATAGCTCAGTATACCGCAAGCTACAGCTGAGAACGCCGCAGCCAGGACGGATCCCGACATTACTGTCGAGATCCACCCAGCTGCGTTATTGACAGCTGGCTCTGCATATCTCGAGGCAGAGCCAATTGTCTCCGCCTTGTCCCCCGTCCGTTCCACCAGTCAGCGCTGGAGGATCGGACAGAGGAGGGGGGGAATCCCTGCAGGGAGCCATGAGTGACAGTGTGCTTTTGTTTTTGTCTATGTGCCATTGAAGAGATTTTTCCATACTTTCTCTCCTGATAGGAAGTGAGAGGAAATATTCCCACACAGTAACACAGACAACAATTTAAAAAAAACCACATAGAAGTCTATAACATAGAGTCTTTAACCCTTCCCTGCTTTACTGAAAATAAACTGAAAATTTAAAGTGACCATTTCACCACAGGGACACTTTTAAATAACACCTTCCTTGTGAAAGAAGACACACTATACTAAGCTTTTCAGTGATCCATGTCTTGAAATGCTACGGCTTCAATGTTCTGCAACACTGCAGGTATTCAACTGGTCATACGAATCAAATACCTGCTCCTCCTGCCAAGCGCAATGATTCTTTGCACCAGTTCACAGATTGTGATGTACAAGCCAGTGGGAGAAACCAGGAGTAGCAGGTATTCACAAACTCAGACACGAGAAATGCCTGCGGTGGCCATTGGAACAGCAAGTTTTCAAGACATGGGCCACCAGAAAGAGCTTGTTCTTTTACAGGGCTAGTGGTTTTATTTTTTTGTAAGTGACCCTGTAGTAACAAGAGCAATTCCAGCCAGAAAATACAATTATTTTTTGAACTGCCTATGCTATGTTAGATTCTTTGCTAATATTTGTCTTTTTCAAAGGCAAGTTTATGTGTTTGCCTAAAAGGCACTTTTACAAATGTATTCTTTGCCTTACCTGGTGTTGTCACTGTATATTATAGTGCTCTTCTGGGTTGACCAAAATGGCATACAGATCTGCTGAAGAAAACACACACACAATGAGATGTATAATAGCAAACTATTGGATAATGTACATTCATAGTACACATCATGGTGGTCTCATAGAGCTTGGTGAAGCATTTTTAAGAATTTGACCTACATGGCTTTTGTGGCATATGACAGGAAAAAAAACACCTCAGAAGGTCATCTACAACACTCTAAACCACATTCCCCATGCAATTTATCCCCTTTATCACCTTTGTGCTTTATATGCTAAATACTGAGTGGTCACAAGTGCCCTATAGCCTGGCAGCACCTGCCAAACGTGAGCTCATATTACTGTTTCCCCTTTTGCACAGGGCACCACACCTCATCCACAGGCAAGCTGCTGTGGTCAAATCACTAAGTAAAAAGTTGTATGGAGCAGTGTGGACTGAGAATGAACAGCACATGGCAGAAGGTGGTGTGAACATCATGGGGCTAAGGGTGGTGTGAGTGGAAGGAGCTGTGGACAGACTGCAAGAGAGATGTAGTGGAGAGAGTGGATCTAAGATGGAGGGGACATTGCAGATGGAAGATGGAGCAAACAATGTGAACTGAAGATATAATGGGTGGAAGATCAAGCAGACGATGTTGGAAGAAAATGAGTTGACAATGTCAGCAGAAGATGAAACAGATTGTTGCTGGAAGACAGCCGACAAAAAGGTAAAAGGCGGATCCAGCAAGGTAGGTGCAAAATGGATAAACAAAGTGAGCAATGAGCGATCAGACCAGCACTCAAACTGAGGCATGTTGAGCATGAGTGGGAACAATTTAAGAACTGCTGCTTTGAGTAATCTGCGTTGACACTGCTAACCTAAAACATCCTTGGTGAAATAAAAAATCATGCATTGTTCCTAAATCAGCCATGCCTAATGCAATAAACATTTGAATCAGACACACATACATAAATATTAGAAATCAGTGGAGGTACCAATGTTGCTACAAAGGCAAGAAGGAGCACTAGCTTGAACCTTTATAGGCCCCTGGTAAGCTCTGAGGTCTCTTTTCAACGTTCATGCTTTTGTCAAGGTTTCCCATGGTACCTATTGCAAGCATAAGCACCCATATAGACAGTAGTGTGGGGTTATTATGCACATACAGTAAACAAGCTATACATTTCCCACTGCTGGTTTCATAAGCTGAGAATACATTCTTGTATTAATTTGTATTAAAGGAGAACTATGAGGTGAGTAAAAATCACTCAGCCTCATAGTTCGAGCAGACGTGTGACAATGAAACTGTCACACGTCGGCTCAATAGATCGGGAAGTGAGCAAACACATACCGTCACTCGCTTACTTCTCGAGTCTGTCCCTGCAGAGAGCCATGACTGTCACTCACAGCTCCCTGCAGGGATTCCCCCCCTCCCCTGTCCGATCCTCCAGCGCTGATTGGTGGAACGGACAGGGGAGGGGGCGGGTACAGCTGGCTCTCCCTCTAGATAGGCAGAGCCAGCTGTCAATCACGCATCTGGGTGGATCTCGACAGTAATGTCGGGATCCATCCTGGCTGCGGCGTTCTCAGTATACCGCGAGCTGTAACTCGCAGTATACTAAGCTTTGGGTCATGGGAGGACGCTAGTTTGTGTTCTCCCGTGACCCTTAGGAGAACTATGGGGAAAAACACTGACCCTATAGTTCTCCTTTAGCATTGTCTTATAATTAGAAATGCACGCGGGCGGGGCGAGTGATAAAACCTATTAAAAACTATAATGGCCCTAATATTAAATAAGATTCCTAATGTTATTTTGCAAGTGTAAAGATGTTAATACAAAAAAAGAAAAGAAAAATTCTAAGTGGTTGATTATTCCTTTAGATCAGGGGTAGGCAACCTCAGCACTCCAGCTGTGGTGAAACTACAAGTCCCATGAGGCATTGCAAGACTGACAGTCACAGGCATGGCTCCCGGAGGCAAGATATGATTGGATTTGTAGTTTCATCATAACTGTAGTGTAAAGGTTGCCTATCCCTGCTTCAGATGTTTTAATCAGCCCCTTTTGGAGAAAAAAAAAATACCATTTGATAGTATAAGTGTTAAGCAGACAATAGACTTTCTTTTAAATGCTAAGTACAGTAACCCAGAGCAACCAATGCCACTTCACTCTGCTTAAGTCAGTCCAGTTCAAGATGGATTCTGATTGGTTGCTAGGAATGACTGCACTAAGAAATGCTCACTTTTTAAAATAAACTCTTTAATAAACAAAGATGTGCATGCAATAAAAATAACATGAATACGTTTAAATAAATGTTGTCCGTGCATTCTATACCTATTTTCTATACCATTTGGATTTCACAGTTGAACGCATTGTGTTTTCATATGCCGTAACACTCCTTTTTGTTAATCGGTTTTGGGAATGACCTCAAAGACAAAGCAAAAAAACACGGAAATGCGTTCAAAGTCCCTGATGTGTCCGGGAGAGACCACAACATAAAACTAAGAAGGACTGGAAAATTCTGGAATTTCAATCAGCATGTTAACAGGAAGAAAAAAAATCTAGGACTTTGCTTCTAACCCCCTCCTCGGCTCGTGGAAAGACGCTTCACTTGCCAAAACCTATACCGTGTTCTTCTGAAACTTGTTTTTTTTAGGGGAAAAAAATTCCTTCCAGAGGAATAAAGGAAAGAAGAATTTTTTTTTTCTTGTCAAGAACAGAGACATGAGAATTAGATGGTGTTCGGAAATGCCTTTGTAAATTATTTCTTTTTTTAATACAAAAAAGATTCAGGCTTTGTAAAAAAAAATCCAAATCATGTTGACATTAAATAGTACTGGTAGGTTTTCAGAAAACAAATAAAGACATGTAGGTTGTGTAATGCTCTCTTAGATTGTTGCTGGACCTATTCTCCAACAAGGTAAAAGTACATTCCTTCTTTGTTGGTGGCATGGGTTTTAAACGGCCACTTAACCTAAAACAGATATTCCCTCACAGAGAAGTTATTCATATGTGGTAAAGTCATAAAATAAATAATTGGGACATTAAAGCCTTGGCCCAAATCGTGCCTACTCTACTAGCCCCCACTTTCTTCAGGGTCCACAAAATGGGATACACCCATTAAAAATGGGACATTTGGGAGCTATTACTATTAAAGATGTCCATTCACATAGAAGTTTCCATGCCCTGACAGAATGAAATATTTCACACTGTACGGGGATTAGTTAAAAAGTAATGCCTCCATGTCTGTAATTTGAGATTTATTGGAGTGACTGTGAATGTTCATGTATGATATTATAGAGGTGTCCTTACCTCACTAATGTATGCTTTTCTTTTTCAGATTGAGTGATTAGAACCATGGATCTGCAGCTAAAATAACAAGCTGTAATTGAATTTCTGGCGAAAGGGGGTTGCCCACCTAAGGAAATCCATAATCGGCTAAAGAATGATTATGGGGACGTTGTAGTGGACATTAGCAATGTGTGGCATTGGGTGAAGGTGTCTCAAGAAGAAGAAACTGAAATTCCACTAAATCCAATTACAGCTTGTTGTTTTAACCCAGGGGTGCCCATTAGGTCGATTTCGATCTACCAGTCAATCGCAAAGCAAACACTGGTAGATCGTGATCGGCTTACTGACCAGAGCTCCCTCTCACAGTGTTAGTGCAGCTGAATGTGTCAGACGCTGCAGACGGGAAGGGGCGGGACACCTCTCCCCGTCTGCAGTGCTGGCCACATTAGAGAAGAGACAGCCTGAAGAGAGAGAAGAGACAGGAGAGAGAGGGAGAGAGATGAGACAGTCAGAGGAAAAAGAGAGAGAAGAGAGGAGAGAGAGAGCAAGGAGAGAGAGTGCGAGGAGAGAGAAGAGAAGAGACAGCCGAGAGAGAGAGAGACAGCGGAGAGAGGTATAGGGGAGAGAGCGAGAGAAAGCGCAAGGGAGAACGTGAGCGAGTGAGAGAGAGGCAGTAGTCCCAGTAGGGATTTTAATGTGCTTGTTTTTTTAAATAAAGGTGTTTTTTTCCTTGGTAGATCTCATTGAGCTCGTCATTTGAAAAGTAGATCTCAAGACAAAAAATTGTGGGCACCCCTGTTTTAACCGCTGATCCATAGTCCTAATCACTCAATCACTCTGAAATAGAAAAGCATACATTAGTGGGGTAAGGACACCTCTATAACATCGTACATGAACATTCACAGCCACTCTAATAGGTCTCAGATTATAGACATTACTCTTTGATTGACCCTCGTACATTTGGCGGGTCACCGAGCATAATTGGGCATTGTATGGTATAAGCAGAGATTGATCAAGTGGTTCACAAATTGGATGAATCTGGCACATTTACAAATGTCATCTTCTTCAATTAAAATGATTGAATATGAGAATGGAAATCTGATCTGCAAAAGGTCATGTCATTAATGAATTCTGATTGTCGGTGGGTTTAATGAAGTCCCCAGATTTGTCTCTTCTGCTAATCACTAATTATACATTCTTTTAACATGAAGGGTGACTGACTTTAGTATACTAGACTGAAGCTTCTATACAGGAAATTAGTGTGTGGTAAAATATACCTTGCAACAACTACAACTTTATTTTAGCTATGGTAAGCAGCTTATTTTTCTCCAAATGCATTGGTTAAAGTTGAACTCTGGGCACAAAAACTTTCAAATATTTTCTCCAGTAGTCACCAAGGATTGTAGCACTCACCCCAGAAGGACCCGCTGTTTGTATCAGGTCCATATCTAGTCAGTCTAGGGATAGATTTCCAACTGCCCCATTAGCATTAACCGCCCTCTTCTTGTGCCCATAAATAGAGGTCCACTCCAGTTGTTGGATGCTAGTTGAACAGTTTATTCACTTCTAATTAGGGAGAGAGGGTATAGGGTCTAGGTGCACAGGCCTCCTTAGCTCCAGACTCACCGGATCTTATCTTATTGGAGTACATATCCACAATCCATGAAAGAACACTGACCCCGCTCTGAAGTCCACATGAACCCAAGGCACTTCAAGAGCCCGCACTGATCCTGGTTCTTCCATCTTTCAGGTATTCTCCAGGTTGCAAGCTT